TTCCTTCCCAAACCTCCTCTTCTTTTTATCCCTTTCCCTCCTTCCCACCCATACTCCCTCCTCCTCCTCCTCCTCCTACCCCAACTACCTCTTCCCCCATTCCATTCCCTTCCCTTCCTCCCCCCCTCCTCATCTCCCCTACCCCTCTCCTCCTCCTCCTCTCCCTACCCTTCCTTTCTCCTCCCCTTCCTCCTCTACCATACCTCTCCCTCCTCCCCTACCCTCCCCCTTTCCTCCCCCCCTTCCCTCTCCTCCCCCTCCTCCCCTTCCCCTTACCCCCTCCCTTCTCACTCCTCCTTCTCCCCCCTACCCCTCCTCCTCCTCCTCCTACCCATCCTCCTCCTCCCCCTTCCCCAACCATCCCTCCTCCAGCTCCCCCCCCCCCTCTCCTGACTAAATCTTGGCTCCCCGAAGACGAATTCCTCCCCCAGATGTAGACCATCAATTTAATCAATCAAGGGAGCATCTCTCTCCTCCCTTCTTATCTCTCGCGTCTTATCTCTAACTGTCGTAAACAATGATGAGCACGATAGCCTCATTAGCATAAAGTACAAAAATGCAAAACGACAAAATTCATCGATACTTTTTTTTTCTTTTTTTTTTTTTGGGGGTGGGTGGTGGGGAGGGTTGGGGGGAGGAGGTAAGGATCGAATCATTTTGATAATTTCTTTTTTTTCTCTCTCTCTCATCTTCTTACGAGAAAAGATTTTTTTTTTTAAATCGATATTTCTCTTTAGAAATTTCTGTTTCGAGTTTTTGTTTTTGTTTTCTTATTCATATTTTTCTATTATTCTCATTCTTCAGTTTTTTTTTATTCCCTTGTTCCCCTTAATTTTACTTGATTAATAATAAGAAAAAAATACCCATCGTTCCATCGTTTTTTTTTCTTCCAAATTATCCACCACTTATCCTCTCTCTCCCCATCCTCTCTCACCTCCCTCTCTTATTTCTTCTTCCCTTTTTCATCACATCCTTCCCCTTATCTCCAGCATCTCTTATCACCTCAAATCCTTAATCCCTCACTCTCATTCCCCTCCCTCTCTATACAGCATGAACTTGCCTTCTTACCTCAGCATTATCTCATTTGAAATTCCTTCTCAGGTTCGAGATGCAAGATGCTCATTGAGTCACCGTATTATTGAAATATTAACTGAGAGGAGAGGGGAGAGGGAGGAATTGAGAGGGAGAGGGGGAGAGGGAGAGGGAGGGGTGAGGGAAGGGAAGGGAGGAATGGGAGGAAGGGGGAGAGGGAGGAGTGAGTGAGATAAAGAGAGACAGAGAGAGAAGAGGGAGGGAGAGGAGAGGGGGAGAGGGAGGGAGTGAGATAGAAAAGAGAGACAGAGAGAGGGGGAGCGGAGGAAAGGGGAGGGAGGAAAGAATGGGAGGACAGAGAGGAACGAGAGATAGTGAGAGAGAGAAAAGGAGAAAGTAGAAAGAGAGAGAGAAAAAAGACAGAGAGAGAGACAGACAGACATCAGAGACAGAGACAAACAGATAGACAGACAGATAAAACAGAGAATTAATGCTTTATCACTCTTACGAGGAAACAGCTTCCTTTTCGTCATCTTTGATAATTCCCTTTTCCTTGACCTGCTTTATTATTTTACCTCAATCACTTCCCATTTAATTACAGAGAAAAAATAATTATGTCACTTCCTTTTTGTTTCATGGAATCTGTTCTGTGCTCGTCTAGTTCCCGTGTGTTGTTCTTTTTTTTTTTAATTTATCCTTTTATTCTCTCCATATTTATCTATCTGTTTCTCTTGTTCCTGTCTCCGTCGCTGTCTATACCTACCTACTAGTTATCTCTCTATCTATCTGCTGTTTTTTTTTTCTCTCTCTCTCTTCCTAACCTTCCCCCTTTCCTGTCTCTTTCCCTCCCTTTCCCTTTACCATTTATCTTTTCTCAAAGTATCTATGGCTCCACCCTTCCTTGTTCCATAAGAAAACTGTCTCCTCTCTCCCTCCCTCCCTCTCTCTCTTTCCCTCCCTCCCTCCCGCTATATCTCTCTCCCTCCCTCTATCTCTTTCCTTCCCTCCCTCCCGCTATCTCTCTCTCTCTCTCCCGCTATCTCTTTCTTCTCCCCCCCCCCCCCCCGTCTTGTTCCATAAGGAGGAACTGTCTCCTCTCTCTCTCCCTCTCTCTCTTTTCCTTCCCTCCCTCTCGCTATCCCTCTCTCTCTCTCTCCCGCTATCCCTCTTCTCTCTTCTCTCTTTCTCCCCCCCCTCCCCCCCCCCGTCTTGTTCCATAAGGAGGAACTGTCTCCGCGATCTCCGACGGCGCTCCGACCCGGATCCGCGTTCTCCACTTACACCATTTTTGGCCGAGTGTCTTCCTCTGACGTCAAAGGGTTAAAGACGGATGGAACGCCAGGGGGTATCGCCACTAATGCCCAGATCAGTATAAGAAGGAGCCGGCAAAATGTTAGTATGAAATTAATATCATGTAGAATAAACTTTCCACATCCTCTCTCTCTCCCTCTCTCTCTCTCTCTCTCTCTCTCTCTCTCTCTCTCTCTCTCTCTCTCTCTCTCCTCTCTTCACACACACCGCACACATACACACGCACACATAACATACACACAGGAACTCACTCACTTTTCTCTCTCTCTCTCTCTCTCCCTCTCTCTCTCTGCTCTTCTCTCTCTATCTCTCTCTCTCTCTCCTCTTCTCTCTCTCTCTCTCTCTCTCTCTCTCTCTCTCTCTCTTCTACTTGTTGATGGTTCTGTAACGACCGAGATTGTAAATGCTGATTGATAATAATTGTTGGTGGCGGGGCTCTCTCGTTCGGTTGTTTTGTTGGACTTACTTTTTCGTGTTTGTTGTGGTTTTCCATGAAAAGGTGTGACGCTCTTCGGATCTGTGGTCGATTTGTCTGTTTTATTTCAGTGTAGATGCATTTAAGGACATTTTCGGTAATGTGGGATGTGTTTAATATTTCTCTAATACTTCCTACGATATTGAGTTATCATCGAGTCAGTATATGGAATGGCATTAATGGATCCTATGTTGCTCTTTTGTTGTTCTTTGACGTCACTACCGCCATTTTGACTTTTTTTTTTATCCATTGATGAGTTTTGTCCCAAGGTGCACACGAAATCGTCCGTTTATGAAGAGAAGAAGACCGCCCATATGTATGTGTATATATATATGTGTGTTGTGTGTGTTTTTTCTTTTTTTTTTTTTTTTTTTTTTTTTTTTTTTGTCGGATAGAGCAGTGTTGTCCAAACATTTTCTCCTATTGTACCCTTTATTACCTTCTTGTACTGTTGCGTATACACCTCCCCCCCCCTCCGTCCACCATGGCTAAACAAACTTTTATTTAGGATAATGCAAACAATATGCTAATTATGAAAAGACTGCATTGCAGGAGTGTTGGGCAATAAATTCGAATTTAATACACGAATAAAAGAGATGATTCATAGAACATGTGTGTGTGTGTGCTGTGTGTGTGTGTGTGTGTGTGTGTGTGTGTGTGTGTGTGTGTGTGTGTGTGTGTGTGTGTGTGTGTGTGTGTGTGTGTGTGTGTGTGTGTGTGTGGACAGTACTGGGAGAGAGTGTACAACCGTAGGCTGAGGAGGGGGAGACGTGAGATGGGGGGGGGGGGAGTTAATATAAAAAGGACGATCTGGATCAAATGTGAGACCCTGTAGCATAGGTCATCATTTTCATCCCTTTGCTCTGTGAATTTTGGAAGAGGGGGGGAGGGGGGAGGGGGAAGGGGGATTTTGGGGAAGGAATTGTTTTTGTACGCTTGCGAAAAAAAAAAAAAGAATTAAAAAAAAAAAAAACATATATGATCAAGGTTATTGATGATAATGCATGCTCATGTAAGGAAGGAGTGTCGTTATCATTCTACATTTCAAAAAAAAAAAAAAAAAAAAAAAAAGTTTATGATAATAATGAATCAATCTCATAAAATCAATAATTGAAATGAAAACAACCTAATGTAGCGACAGAGTTCAGGAGCCACCTTTCAAGGAGCATCTACTAATTAGACGTCAAATTATCGTAATAATCAATTCAGTAATTATGAATGAACCTTATTTAAGTGTGGTAATGCATTTAATAATGACGATGGTGGTGACCAAGCCATATAAAAGTGACGACAATGATAGTTTAAACTGTAGAAACATTGTAGTCTAAAATAATAAGGATATCAATGAAAATAACACCCGAAAGTGCAAATAGGAGATGAATCCATCTTCTAAGATTACATCGAGTCCTCTCTATGCAAATTATGGTAATGAACCTATGGTAATGAAAGACGAGGATTAGCAGTCCGCCCTCTGCAATCCACCATATAAAAGCGGTGATGACTTCATGGTAACTGCCTGACGAGAACAATAAATGTAATACATCCTTCATGAAATTCAATATGTTAATTTTTATAAATAATATAAATAAAAGAAAAATAACTGTATCACATTTGTGGTCTCTTCAACGTTTTGATTTTGGTGCATTGCGCCGTGAAGTATATATTAGTTAAAGCATCTACTTACTTTTAAAAAAAATCTTGAGAAATTAATTTGTATTTATTCCATATCTGCCCTATTTAAATGGTAAATTATTTTCTTTTACTTAAACTCATTATACTTTCACAGTTAGCGTTATAATTCATCTCTCACTAATCCATGTTATATACAAAGAACGCCACAGTTTAAATGATTATATATTTATTAATTTGTTTTGCGAAATAAGTAGTTAACTTAAGGTCTATTGCCTGATTGGCATCAGAGTCTCGCTACCGATGGCTATCTAAAACAATTGTTGATAATCAGATCATGTTTCGTGCAGCAGGGCCACGCTGATGTTCTCTCGGCTTTTTCTTAATTCTGAATTCCATTGGCAGTTCTTGTGAAATCTGCACTTCCTTTAGGTTCGTTTGACCTCATCTGTGTTTCGCACTATTGTTTCGCCGTCTATTTGTTATCAATAACTAAAAAATATTACAGAATTAAGCCATATTTCGTGCCATCAAGGTTGCATTTTCAGTTTCATTAGTTACTAGAATAAGATTTGTCCTCCAAATCAATCTTAAGTAAGTCAAAGTCACTTCTGACTATCACTAACTCTGGGGCAGTTATTAAAGAACAAGGTAACATGGTCACAGTTAGAATCAGTGACCTTAAACTAATTTTGGCGTTCATTAGGCCATGTTGTAAGACGCTGCGCTCCAATAAGAAATTCTGATAGCTCAGGTAATCATTAAAGAATCAGTTCATATTCTTCATCAACAAGGTTCTTGAAGTCACAAGCATAATGATGAATTTCAGTTCATTTGGGACGTCAACAACCTTATCGCTTTAACTTCATCTCAGGTTCAGTGGAATGAGGCACCTTCGAGTTCGCTTCTCGTCGTCAATTGCTGTCTTGGATTTAGAGAAATTATCAATAAACATTTTGTTCTGATAGGATTAAACCGAATCATTGACGATCTTTAGGTTTATCGGGACATCTGACCATCATTCATCTTAAATTGTAATAGTGTTGGTCTTAAAGTGACTTTTAAGAGGTGGTCCAACATTTTCACAAGCGTACAAAGAGCATTCTTACTGCTAATTCCCTTCCCTAAAAGTGCACATCTGAAAATGTTGAAACCAAACGTGCCCTTGAGCAGACAGGTGAAAATACTCCTGATAATAGACGTGTTACCCCCTTAAAGCTTGGCTGAGGATCATTTTCATAATTGGAGGTTATTTTCATTTGGGAAAAATATCAGGATCATGTTGAAGATAATGAGCAAAGCGACCTCGATAACAGGTAGAATTGAATTTCTTGGTGCACGTGATACAAAAATGTTATACGTTGGTTGGAGTCATAATGAAAAGTTGACATTCGGGAAAGCGGTATTTATCCGCAGATACTGAGGACTCGATACGATCTGACATCGACATTTTTCACAGAATTTTTAAAAATTGTGAGCTAGTTTTACCCCTTCCCCCCTTTCGTAAAATGTAAAAAAAAAAGGTATTTTCTAATCAGGAATTTATTCTCATTCCAGAGGGTGAATACTGTATCTGTTCTTTGTATTGCATCTACTCCCTTGTTAATGGTATGGAACAATTTGTTTAGAAACACCGCATATTTCCTTCAAGAAAGAGGCAGGTAAAATCGCTGGCCAATTAAGAACTTTTCGTTAAGCAATAATGTAAAAAAAAAATATACTTTTCGTTGGATCCGTTTATTTAGCATCTTATTTTAGACCATTACTGTTACTCATTTACGTCACGTCCTCCTTATTATTATTATTTTTTTTTTTTTTTTTTAAGCTTAAGCAAGTGTTAGAAAGAAGACACGTGTTTCGAACCAACAAGGTTATAAACTTCAAATCATCATTAATTTATTTACTTTATAAGATTAGCAGTTCATTGAAGACGTTGGTTTAGGAACTCGTTGCATTACGCGCAGGTTCATTACACCCTGTTATGTTCGGTCTTTCGTTGGGAGAGATTCCTTGTTCGAATTCAGAGTATATAACGTCGGTGACAACATTTGAACCAGCGACTTTCACCAAATCTCTCTCTAAATCTCTCTCTCTCTCTCTCTCTCCTCTCTCTCTCTCTCTCTCTCTCTCTCTCTCTCTCTCTCTCTCTCTCTCTCTTCTCTTTCTCTCTCTCTCTCTCTCTCTCTCTCTCTCTCCTCTCTCTCTCTCTCTCTCTCTCTCTCTCTCTCTCTCTCTCTCTCTCTTCTCTCTCTCTTCTCGTATCACTCGTAAAAAGTCAAATATTGGTAAATGTTTTCGTATACAATTTACAGCGAGAGATTTTCCAAATATTAATGCCGTTGCTATTATCAGGAAAATTCTCTGCTAATTCAAGAAAAGTTAAATTAAAAGGTTAAGTAATGTACGGATAGGCTGCACGTTTAGGCTGAGTGTGAGAGTGTGTGAGAGAGAGAGAGAGAGAGAGAAGAGAAGAGAGAGAGAGAGAGAGAGAGAGAGAGAGAGAGAGAGAGAGAGAGAGAGAGAGAGAGAGAGAAATATACACGAGCGAGCGTAAGACGGAGACAGAGAAAGAGTGAATAAGAGAGAGAGAGAAAAAAAGAAAGTGAGAGAGGAGAGCGAAAGACAGAGAGAAAAGAAAGAGAGGAGATAGCCAGTGAGCGAAAGACAGAGTGACCCGAAGAGAGGAGAAAGAGAGAGAGAGAGAGAGAAGGAGAGAGGGAAGAGGAAGGAGGAGAGAAGAGAGAGGAGACGAAGAGTGAAGACAAGGAAGAGAGGAGGGGAGAGAGAGAGAGAGGGGAGAGAGAGAAAGGAGAGGAGAAGAGAGACGAGAGAGAGATTGGCGAGAAGAGAGAGGGAGATAGCAAGAAGAGAGAGAGAAAGCCCGAAAAGACAGAGTTGACCTGATCCGAGAGAGTGAGAAAGACGAGAGAAGAAGAGAGGGAGAGGGAGAGAAGGGAGGAGAGGAGAGGAGAGAGAGAGAGGNGCATACTGTATATATATATACATATGACAAAGCAATTCATCACATTCCCCCTCCTCTTGAGTCTTCATCAACAGTCCCCCAGAATGAGACTCACCCCTCGAGAATCCCGAAACAGGATGGCTGCCTGTTGGGATCCATCTCGCCTCGCATGTACGTGTGCGAGAGTGTGCCACTGCCATGTCGCCTCTTGTCCGTCTCCGAGGAGTGTCTTCGCATCTGACCTGTGGAGGAACGATGGGTTGTCATAAGATTGTCTATGAAGGATATCTTTAAGAGATCAAAAGAATAATGTACAAGTAATAATGATAATGAAAAATACAATAACAGTTATAAAAATGTAATAGATGAATTAATAATGATGTTGATAATGGTATTGGTAATGATGTTGATGACGATGATAATCACAGTAATACAAGTCCATCATATAAGTATATAAAAAGTACACATACAGTCATCATTACGGATATCATAACTATCATAATGTAGATTACATTCATAAAAGCAATATAAGATAAAGAAGTTTTTCCAAAAATCAAGACAAAGGGGAAACAAGAGAGATCGGTAGAAGTAGTAATTGGCCCATTGGTGACTGAATACTTGTCGGGCCAACTGTGTAAATATAGTTAATATATCAAACTTCCTATGGGCCTGCTATGTCCCCAGTGGCATCAGTTTAAATAATTGAATCAACATTATAAGCAACAAAGATGATGAAAATAAGATTAAACCAAAATACCCTAGAACCATGATGATGGTAAAAAAGAAAATAAGTATAACAGTAATAACACTACTGCCACAACTATTAATAATAATAATAACCAAACAAAGCTAATAATAACACTGATTAAAGAAACAACTGAAGAAAAGAAAGGTAATGGTGACAATTCAAGATGACTATGACTATGATAGCAATGATACTGATATGATGATGGTAACAATAATAGTAATGATAACAATAATAATAACAATAAAAATATCAACAAAATGACAATAAAATAACAATGATATCATACTAATCATAAAAAATAAAAACAACAACACCAACAATAACAATAATAATAATGAAACATTAGCCTCTTCAGCTCTTGAATCAATAATTTGTCTGAATTATACTTATTTATGATTTCTATCTAATAGACCTGAATAAAGCTCGAAATGGGAAGTGATCCTTTTCTGGGATACACTAGGAAAGCTTTTTGAACACAGAAGACACACCATTCCAAGTGTAACCATCAAAACACTTATTTCTCAAAAGCCTGAAAATATCACGCATTAACAGAACAGTAACCTTGCCTCTAATGCAGCAATGGACTAAACCCATCCACACACAACACACACACTCACTCAATATACATATTCACACCCTCTATGACACACATCCCCTCTAACCCCATTCTATCCTAAAGGTTAAATATTAGCTAACGCTTCTCTAATTATTACTAGACCAATCGCCTAGGGCTCTTCCTTA